AGCGATGAGCAGGAGATCTCACCAGGGAGTGTAGGTGTTAAGGAAGCATTGTTAAGTGATGGGTCATCTCTGTGGCACAGGCCATCTGTGGGAAGGCACCTGAGTTTTGGGAAGTGCCTTGGGGCAAGAAATAGAGATTTACTATGACCTGCCCTCAACATTGGACATTATATATAACATATGAGCTTGATTTGTGAATTTGTGAACCCAGCTTCTGACTGGCTGGCTTAGTTACTTTTCTGTTGTTGTGATAAAATACTTGGCAAAGACACTTCATGAAGCAAGGTTTTCTTTACCTCAAAGTTTATGGTGAAAAAATCAGGGCAACAAAAGCTTGAAAGGGCTGCTCACACCTTATCAGGTCAAGAAGCAGCTGTTCACACCTCATCCTGTCAGGAAGTAGCTGCTCACACCACATCCTGTCAGGAAGCAGCTGTTCACACCACATCCAGACAGGGAGCAGCTGCTCACACCTCATGCAGTCAGGAAGCAGCTGCTCACACCACATCCAGGCAGGGAGCAGCTGCTCACCCCTCATGCAGTCAGGAAGCAGCTGCTCACCCCTCATGCAGTCAGGAAGTAGCTGCTCACACCACATGCAGTCAGGAAGCAGAAAGCAGTGGATGCTTATACTCAGCTTATTTTCTCCTTTTATGCAGTCCAGGATTCCCAGCACAGTTAGCCTAATTACCAAAATCCCCACAGACATACTCAGAGACCTATCTCGTAGGCAATTCTGGGTCTCTCTGGCTTGCAAGTTGATAATTGAGACTAACCATCACATTATCTCAGTCTGATTTTCTGACCTGATCATAAAACTTTCCTTTAAAACATAACAACTAACAACAAAACCACCTGTTCTTCCCCTGTATTTCAAAATCAAACTCAAACCTTTTTTATTTAAAATTTTGCTTGTATTTAGTTGCATTAGCTCACCCTGGGATTTGAGCAAGTAGGAAAAATAAGAGATGAGACCAAAGCTCAAAGCAGTACTGGCTTTCCTCGTCCACCAGGCTGTTGTGTTTACTTGATGACATTAAATGCATCTTCTGTGTTCTGTGATTGTTTCCTCCAAGAAACAGAATGGACAGAGTATTACTTGTTAGTCTAGTGATAGGACTTTCACTCAGCATTCCAAATAAGATAGAAGTCTAGTTATTGACACCCTTCCCTGGATCTAAAACCTTACTTCATTTTGATTTAAATTTTGGCAGATTGCTTGTTGAGGCCAGGAATTCAGAGAGCATTCGTAATGCTGTGCACAGCCCAAGTTGAGTGTTTTGGACCTACATTTTACGATGTTTCTTACACTGTGATGGAGTCTTTCCTTTCTGCTCTGTGGCTGTTGTCATTTCACAAAGAAAGGGAAAATGCTTCTACTTCAGGACTGTCATCTGTGTTGTGTGAGGAAAGACTTCTACATTACTGTGTATTGCTGATCGGATGCCTCCTGGGTGCCGGGCACTCTCTTTGATCTACCACAGTATGACTTACATCGCATCTATATTCTTGAAAGTGGGGGCTGAATTTTAGACCTGCACCATGAACCCTTACCTTTATACCCATGAGCTCTTTATCTCAGTTCTCTTTCTTTCCTTTTTCTGTGAGTCATTTCCTTCTTCATAGCTGTATCATTTGCCCAATCAGAGCAAGCCGTAACAGCTTTGTATATTCTTCGTGTTCTTATTTAATCTAACTTTTAGCTAATTATTAGTCTCCCTTCTTCTTCACGGTAAATGGGTCAGAACACTAGCTTTCTTTCTCTCTTGAAAACAATGCAAGCATATCCCTGGATAACAAACCCTTGAGGTTCTGTTTGCCGCTTACTGTCGCCTCCTTCCCATCTTGGGCCTCAGCATCTGACTGTCAGTGAGTTCTTTCGTCTTTCTGCCTTCCACCTCTTCAGTTTTGCTGATCCAATTAGACTTGTAATATTCCTCGAATTGCTGTTAACCTTGGGTCTTTGTATCTCTTGAGTACAGTATTTGTGTGACAGTCAGTGGTTTGGATTGACTGATTGGTGGCTCTGACAATAGGTCTTTGTTAAAACCAAGCGCTGCCTTCTGTCCGTTCGGTACAGGCAGAATGCTAGCCTCCTGAGGAACAGGGCCAGTGGTGTCTGCTAAAGCACCTCAGTCACCCCCTTTTCCTCATCTTGCTTGTCATCTTTTCCACCCCAGCAACACATGACAGTTGGAAACTCCCAAGTCCAAGGCATAGGGCTGAACCAGCAGGTTCCCCCAGCCCATTAGCCTCATTCGCACTCCATGTGTTTTGCATATGGCATTTGGGAAGATTATTAAACAAAAATGAAATAGATTAAGAAATGAACATAAAAGAATCAATTCTCCTGAACTGTGGTTGCATAATGGAAATCGACTGCCGTGAATGAACCCATGCACTGAAGTTATGAACAGCAGAGTTAATGCACTGCCATGAGTTCATCTTTATTATTACATTACACCTGAATCAATTGATAAAGTAGCTTTTTTTTGTAAGCAAGGGATGGCACTTAATTGAATAAAAGTCAATGTAATTATATTAACAGAGGCCAATAGTACTGCTGACAGCGGAAAAGGGACACTGTTGAGGGGGGTGCCAGAGCTGGTCTCCACATTTCTGCACATCGTTTGCTTGACAGATATTGAGGGCTGGTACATCATCTAATTAGATTCCAGACTTCTGCTGCTGTACGTGAGAAGTGAAGAACAAATCCCTTCCTGGTAACATCAGTGTAATTCACAAGTCATCCTACGGGAGAGGTGTCCATCAGGGTGACCAGTACATCCTCTCGTCAACTTTAACTTATCCTGCCTCATTTTTCCATTTCGATGCAACTTTTGTGTGTCTGGCTGCTGTTCACTCAGCAGGGAGCCTAGGAAGCGTTCACTGCAGATGTGGGAGAAACAACACAGAGTTCTAGACTGCATTCAATGTATGTTTATGAAACTACGAAAGGGGGTGGGGTGTTAAAAAGAGTGAACTGCTTATACAGCTGACAGATAGCGTAGTGGTACACGGTGTAACTATTTCCATGTTCCTTCTTGTTCTGACTCTGGTGGTGTCTCCCCATGTGTCATCATAAAGACTTCACAGTAGGCATTTCCCGCACTCTGCTTAGCGACATCCACTTGAGCCGTCTGACATCTGACGCCAGGGAAACGGAATGTCAGAGCAGGCCTGTGGGGACAACTTGTGTGTATCCATGTTCACGTATCCACACACTGCATGCGTCTGTTTGGAACTCATTCATGGATGGTGCCGATGCTGTGAACTTGGTTTATTGATTTGATTTACGGTTTTTGGAATTATACAGGTGATCTGAAAATCAACAACATATGAGATGATCACTTATGACAAAATAATTTTGTGATCACATTTTAAATCCCTATTTTATTGTTTAAGTTTTAAAAAGCTGGATGTCTAGAATGTGAATTTGTTTTCTCTCTCTCTTTCTCCCTCTTTCTCTCTCTCTCTCTCTCTCTGTCTCTCATTCTTGCTTTCTTTTGTGATCGATTTAGCAAAAGATTAGAAAGCTGATCTTATTGTCACAAGGTAAGCTCAGCCTTCCCAAGTGCAGTGTGCAGAGGGCTGCCACCCTCCGCCCCTCAACCCAGAGTGCTGATTGTCTTGTGTGGGAAGGTGGGAACCCTTGCCCTCCTTTCTTGCCCTGGAGGCACATACCTCTCACACTTCTCTAGAAACCTTAGCCATGCTTGTTCCCAATTGGAGTGACTTCTGATTGAAACCAGGAGGCCTCCACTCATGAGCTTAATGCTGACCATTTAGGTCATTTCTATCATCACAATTAACTTCTCTAAGATGTCCAGCCTCCAGTGCTGACAAATTTTGTTTCCCTGTTTCTTTATCACTGTGTTGTTTTGGAGGGTAGTTGTCAATTTAGGTACTTGGCAAACATCTGGGCCTTCCCAGGTGGAGAGAGGTATATGCCCAAGGGTACTTTAAAGTCAATGGGGGGTGTAAATAATACATAGGCAATGTTTTCAGATAAACAGTGACATGGGATTTGTAAGACCTGAGGTCCCTGTAGATGCTTTGGGAATAAATTTCACCCTTTTTTAACACAAGCAAAGCTCTTGCTTGTCAAAGTTAGGAATTCTGTTTATAAACTGAAGGGACTCTGCCATTGTGCTTAGATTTTTTTTAACTTGTTGTGCTTTTGGATTTTTTTGTGGGGGTAGGGGCTACAATTTTAGAAAATAATTTATCAGATTATGTCCTAAAGAATTAGACTGTAAATTAGCATTATTTGATGAAGATAGTTCACTACTAAAATATAGTAACTTTTGAAAAACTAAATGTATTTTGCTATTAGCTATTAGATTTGGGTGGGGATTCCAGACAGGTTTGAGAAAAGATTCGTATCACACACACAAAAGAAAAATTAAGTTACTAATTTTCTGGGACTTTTTTAAAACCTGAAAACATGAAATATAGGAGAATAAGGAAGATGATTTTTCCAAAGTTAAACCTAAATTATGTAAATCATTTTTTAAAGACGAAGATCTTTTTCCCAGTATTTGCTGTGCTAGAAAAGGTTTATTTGTTGTCCTATTCTGGTTTTAAGTAAAGTTAGACTATTCCATTTAGACAAATTGGGAGTTTTCATTCTTTCACCCTGTTTTATGCTTATTATCCTGTACTTACTTTATGTATGAGACATCTGCTATGAGGTCCTCTGTGGCTAATGCACTAACGGAACAGCCATTGAGAAAAGAGTGCCCGAGTTTGCATCCACCCTGCCCTTGAAGAGCTGATTCATAAAGATGGCATCAATGGAAAGTTCCCCTTTCTGCACCTCCCACCTGCACTCAGTCCCGGGTCCTGAGGGTCAGGGACGCTTGCTTTTATCGTGGTGTAATTAGGAGTGAATGTGTGTGTTTGGTGCTTAATGAAAGCTGAACCAATTTTAAAATGCTCTCCTTTTTCTCCCCCTTCCCCACTCCCTGTGCGCCTCCCCTTCCCTCTTGTTTTCCTAGACACAGTGCCAACATAAACCTGCATCGTAAACTGTTGACCAAAGAACTCGATGACATGGGCCTGGACTCATCGCAGCCCTCCCTCAGCAAGGACCTCCGGGATGAATTTTTGATGAAGATCTATGGTGCCCAGCACCCTCTGGGGCTCGATGTCAGGGAAGATGCCTCCTCTCCCGCAGGGACAGAAGACTCCCACCTGAATGGGTACGGGAGAGGCATGGCGGAGGACTACATGGTCCTTGACCTGAGCACCACCTCGAGCCTCCAGTCCAGCAGCAGTATCCATTCCTCCAGAGAATCCGATGCAGGCAGCGACGAGGGGATTCTTCTTGATGACATTGATGGGGCGAGTGACAGTGGGGAGTCGACGCACAAGGCAGAGGCTCCCACCCTCCCCGGCAGCCTTGGGGCTGAAGTTTCAGGATCTCTTATGTTCAGCAGCTTGTCTGGGAGCAATGGTGGGATCATGTGCAACATTTGCCACAAAATGTACAGCAACAAGGGGACTCTGAGGGTCCACTACAAAACTGTGCATTTGCGAGAGATGCACAAGTGTAAAGTCCCGGGCTGTAACATGATGTTTTCCTCTGTGCGAAGCCGAAATCGGCACAGTCAGAACCCTAATCTCCACAAAAACATTCCCTTCACCTCGATAGATTAGTCCCAGAACGGACACTACAGACGCCAGCTCTCACCAGATGGCCTACATGTTTGAACTGCCATAGCCAGTGTGTGCTTCCGGCGTACCGGGGCACATGTGTGTGTCATGTGTATGCCTTTGTGTCTACACTTGTGCACACATACATTTTCTTTTCTTTAGATAAAAATGATAAACACTAGGTGCTTTTGAATTTTTTTCTTTTCCTTTATAGTTTTGGGGGAGGGTGGATCTTTTACTTGGGATAAAAACAAAAGTACCCTTTTCAACACACCACACACACAGAGAGAAGCACACATATAAAGTGTGCAACTAGCCCCAATTTTGATAGAATAATTCTTGGTCTTCTCCAAAGAGACATTTTGTTGTACCTATGACTGTTGCCTGCAAAAAGTAAATAAATAAATAATAAAAGGGAAAAAAGAGAAAAGAAACAAAAAGGAACTTCTTATAGTTGTCTTTTGTGAACTCTAAGGTTTTGAGAGAATCTTCAGTTAAAGCATGGCAGATTCACTTGTAAATATTTAGCCTTGAGAGGCCAATGATGTAAAACAGTTGTATTGATTGTTGTTTAACTCTTCTTTAATTTTGACAGTTACATCCAGCTGTTAGATATGCGGGAAATAAATAGTTTGCTAGCTAGTTCTATTCATTTTCATTAGCATTAATGCACATTTTCTTTAACAAAAAACAAAAAATAACGAAAAAAAAAAGAAAGCCATGGTCTTGTTTTCACTACCTGTTAGATATAGAGATAAGACGTGCTGGCATGCTTTGAAGCACAGAGCTGATTTTTTAAGACGTCCTGTACATAAATCAGTCATGCACTTTTCTCAGACGCTACAAGGGGATGTGTAATGCCCATGCTTCTTTTTATCCTTAAACTGTTGCCATACTTCAGCAAGTATCTTTCTTTAAAAAAAAACCCACTTGTATAAAAATGGTCTGGTCTTAAGTAAAAGGCACAAATGCCAAACAAAAAGTATTAGTGTTAACACAAAACTGCCAACTTTGCACAAGTTTTCAGAAAAGAAAATACAATTAGTCACTCAACATAACCACAGGACCGCTTTTTGGCCACCAGAAAAAACAAAACAAAAACACGTGGTGATTCTTTCCAGTGCGGAATGTTGTTAGAATCCACATTGCATCCTTCCTCCATACATGTTAAATGACATGAAAGGAAAGCAAAACAATGTGGTGTGAACCAGACAAGGCATTTTTCTTTTGTAGCGGCAGGATAATATTTCAGGACACAATAGCGCAAATTACTCACTGAAGGAACAAAGCTGAATACAGTAAGAGTTGAACACTCATTTCCAAGGCCCTAACCCTTATCCCTTGAAAGGGAAGAAAAAGTCTGAGCTGGGTTAGTCTGTTGTATGGCTGTCTCATTTGTCGCAAATTCTGCAGTAGCTCTGCACTCGGGCCTGCTTAATAGACAGAATCAAAAGCCAGTTCACAGCAGCTGTTCTTGGAAGCTCTGAAAACACGTGCTGAACTTGAATTGAGCAGCCCTCCTCTCTGAGCAAGTGAGCAAGCCGCAGAAGGCCAGGGGAAGACAGGATCGCACTGTGCAGTGTTTTGTGTTTCCCCACACGAATTTGTCAGAGAAGTGAAAGCAAGCCTGAAACCAAGCAATTGAGAGTGAGAACAAGGCGGGGTGGAGACTGCTCCAAACCTTTTTGTTTTGTTTTGTTTCTGATGTTTACACATGTTGCCTGAGCTGGTTAACCACATCGGCAGCCTCAGCTACCACAGCATACTGACTAAATGATGGTATTTACTCGACTTCGTCCGCAGCCAGAACTGCTGGGGTGTGCTTGCAGGATGGGTTTTGCTATCTTTTTTCTTTTGGGGGGATTGGGGGTAGGAGGGTAAACACTAGTTTTGTCAAACTACATAATAGAGAATGTATTTCTTTTTTGCATTTAATGGCCTCAAACATTTCTCCCAACGGTTTAAAACTTAGAAATACCCTTTGTTTCAATTTTTCATATCATTTCCATTTTTCATATTTTATTTTTTACTGTGTTCACATCAGCATTCACTTCCGTTAAATTTGCCAAAGGAAACTGTCAATATGTTTCTGTTATTCTTCCTGTGCGACTTATTGTACCTCACAGTATTTTTTTTTTTCCAAAATTAAGCATCATTCATTGGGGGGTCCGGATTTTTTTATATTTGAGAATCTCTGAGCAGTAGGCTCTTGTAGATGAGCTACGTGTTCCTAAAGCTTTGTCTTTGTCTCCTTCTGAAGATGCCATGGGGTCCACTTGGTCCTTCATGTGTTCCACCGAGGAAAAGACCAAAAGCATTTACAGTACAAAAGAAACGATCACACACAATGTCTCTTAAGTGACAAATGTTTACGGTAAAAAGCTGAGGAATTAGTAATAACTTTCTGTTTCCTTGTACCTTTCATTTCCCCAAAACTTAGTTGCTTTATTTTGGTGTCATGTTAAGCTGAACAACCAGATGTGTTCCTTTGTTTTATAACATACAAGACTCTGTACAGTATGTTTGTGAAAGATTGAACTAGAATAATGAACATTTGTTTGCAAACATTTGGTCCTCTTAGCATTCTCTATATTGCGCGGTTGTCTGGATTCAAAGAGGATTGAAACACATTGTTACAATCTCATCAGAAAATATGGAAATTGTCTTTTAGATTGTGTGTGGACTTAAACTACACCTTGTTTTGTGAACATTAATATGCATTTATGTTTGAACAACTTTCAAGTGTTACACTCTTAGAGACACAAGCATTCATCTCTATGAAATCAGTGTTTGGTGTGTTTTAATTGAATGTTAAGTGAAATGTCAAATGGTTCTGAGAGAGTCACCTAGCTGTGAGGAGTCACATCAGCCAGCAACCTAGGCTCAAATCAAGCATTTGTCATTTGTCACACACCTGGCTAATGTCCATAGCCAGCTAGAAAAGGTCCAGAAGTAATGAGATTCAAGAAGTGTCGTTCCCTTGCTCGGAAACTTGAGCGTGTACCTGTTTGTCAGAAATGGTACTAGGACCTAAGCAGTTGGCACTCTTTAAGTATGCCCTTATTTGCTCATGGGCCCAGTCGTTATGGTGGCATCTTCACAGCTAAATATTCCAGTATAAAGCCTATTTGCTTAAAAGGGACAGGGGAAGTTGGTGGATATAGCACATGGAATGTAGAATCTTGAGATGTTCAGTTATGCTCCCAAAGTGTGACTTGTTCTTGGGTGTGCCTGAGTGCAGTGCTTTGACTTAATCACTATTTCTCCTGAGGATGGGAGCCCCAGGGCTTATGTGCAAATGGATAGGATAAGGAGATGAGCATTTTGACCAGGCACACTCTTCATCTCTGCCCATTCCTGCTCCTTTATTCATTCATAGGAATTTCCTGTCGCCCAGCAGCTTCTAGTTACATCCATTCTTTTCTGGTTGAAAATTAATAGGAATATGGTTTTTACTCACATAGCATTTTCCCATTTGATTGATTTTTGTCTAAGTTTTATCACTGGTACATAATTAGGCAATATTCATTGCCCATGTTCTCCAGCTATTTTTGAAGTATGCTGTTTTGATCACTTTAAGCTATGTTTTTGTAAATATAGCAAGGCTGGTTCACTTTGGGGAATATCTGCATGCTATGCAGTGGGGAGAAAGAGGACAAGGAAGAAGATAGATAATAAGTAATGTGGCTTTGGAAGTGTGATAAAAGAACCTACTGTTCTTGTTCTGCTAGTAATTGTGGTTGAGAAACCAGCTCAGTGTAACTCGTCCCCAACCTTAGTGCAGCTGCCCCGCTCAGCCGGATCCTTTCTTAAGGTTTAAATGTATAAACGTTTTCATTCTCAACTTGACTGGCATCCTTTTAGAAACCAATGCTAGCATAGCAGTGTCACCGTCCTAGTCGTGTGACTTCTTTGGTCGTGGCTTTCCAGTAAGAGGAGAGAGTTGTTTAACCAGTTACAGCCTGTTAGTGCACAGGTTGCTCTTAAGAGGAAAGAAAAGCTCTGAGTCTATGAAGAATGGGCTGTCCTAGAAGCATCCCCATTGTACTCGAGAAACCACACATGCCACCTAGTAACATGGCATCTTCCCGCTCTTCCTCTCTGTCCTCCATAGATAATATGCCAGGCAAATGGACGAGAATGGGGACCCTTGGCAGTTCAAACAGACAAGCCAATAATCAGACTGTGATGGACACAACATACCTGAGCAGTCTTGATTGAGTCAAGTCTGCTGGCATGGGGTTACACTGACAGTAAATGGAATCCACTTGTCCTAAGATGTGTTGCACCTGCTGTTGTAAAGGTACAAGACATACAGGAGAGAGTCATGTGACCACACCATGTTACCTTAGAGTTTTTAAAAAATGTGACAAATTCAATTACTTTGCATTTCCCCAAACTAGACATGTTTACATTAGTGGATTTAATGCTTTCCCTATCAGTCTTTGTTTTTAGGAGGGATCTAAATGAGCAAGGAGGGCTATAAAAGGCAGGGGCCAAAAAATGCTGGGGCACAGTACTTGTAGAAGAGACAGGTATTAAGCAGAGAACTGCCTTTGGCCCTGGTTTGAAGGTACTGGAAATAAAAACAGTTAATGCATTGCTAGAGTTTATCCAGGAGAAAAATCTAAGTCCTGCTTTACGGCGGGTGCCAACACACCCTCCAGTATCCTGCAGAGTATCCCATCACCAGGTGAGTCACTGGGCACATCTTGGGGTGTAGTGAGAGATCTCACAGATGCACCTACTGTGCTGACCATGCCCCAAAATTGGGGAGGAATTACAAACATCTTAAGACATTCATTATATGTCATGATAGCCAGAAAAGGCAGTTGTGAGTTTCAGGGTGGCTCTCCTTTTGAGTGAGAAGTGATGGATGGCCCTGGTTCCTTTGGGAACCACAGAGATGTAAAGAGTCACCTAGATTAAAGGGCAGTGATGAAACCTACTTTTTTTTTGAAGACAGGGTCCTGTGTAACATTCCTGGTTGTCCTGAAACTCCCTTTGTAGACCAGGCTAGCCTCATACTCAATGAAATCTGCCTGCCTCTGCCTCTGCCTCTGCCTCTGCCTCTGCCTCTGCCTCTGCCTCTGCCTCTGCCTCTGCCTCTGCCTCTGCCTCTGCCTCTGCCTCTGCCTCCTGGGTGCTGGGATTAAAGGTATACCCCACCACTGCCTGCCTGGCATGAAACCTACTTCTTATTGCAGTGAGAGGAGAACATGCAAGTGATTTGCTTTTATATACTGCAGCAACATAGACAGCTGGGATCACAAAACCTCATGGCTGTTGATCTTATGGTCAAAAATGGGAGCTGAGGCACAGAGGGAACCAGCTTCCTTTTCCCCTGAGAATGCACCTGCCACTGTTAACATCTATCTGATATGCCCCAGGCTCATGCCAACCTTCCCATCACTGCAGAGGTTCTCACTGTAACCATATTGTGTAACTCCTCAATGCAGCTGGCCAGTAGGTCGCTTTCCATGCTCTGGTGCACACCCCCAGCCTTCCTCGTGTCCTTATATCCCAAGTCTTCCCACATTTTACACAACCATTTTCACAGTCCTTCTGCAATAATTAGATGACAAATACTGCCCTGTGGACATTTGTTTTTTAAAATTCCAAATGCCTTAGGACAAAAGGCTAGAAAATCCAACATTTTTACAGGTATACTAAATTGAGTCTGTTATTGTTCATTATAATTATATATATGTGTGTGTATGTATATACATATATGTACATACACAAACATATTTGAAGCAACACACTACAGTTGTCATAAAACTATCTTTATTCTTCTTCAAAGTGTTCTTGTAAATTCATTTGACCTTTACTGCAGGAAAAAAAAATCATATAGGGTTCAGGACAAGGCTCAGTTTGTAACAAATAGCAGACCATTACAAAGAGGAAAGGCAAAAGCCAGGACTGAGCAGCTAGAAGCTTCGGTTCAATTTCACCTCATATCTTTCTAATAACTTGCTTGTCACTTTATTACCTTCCCGTAATGTGAACGCTGCTGACAAGACTGTCACACTAACAGCAGACAACACCCTCTCTACTTCAGCCTCAGTTCTGGCTACTTATTGCCCTGGCCCTGAAGGGACACAAACTAATAGCGTGGTTTCCAGTTCAGCACTTGGCCATCAAATATAAAAGGATGCGTAATTGCCTGTTTATCCCTGGCGAAGGGGAAATTGAGTAGAGGGCCAAGCTTTCCCACCAGCACCCCGCTTACACACTCACAGCCTGCCTCCTCCATCTTTCCTGTCTCTCTGTCTCTCCCCCTCTCACTGCCTCCCTGCCATATGCACACCTACTGTGTCCTTAGGAAACTGTAGGCTGATTCTACGCACGCTCCCCAGCTATTCAGTGGACAGTGAAAAAGGATGATGTCTTACATAAAGGGTCAGTAGACAGTCACAGTCTGACTGTTCTCTAGTTCTCCATGGAATTGGGAGTGGCCACGCAATTGGAGACCATTTCCCTGCAAATCAGTGGCATAAGTAGGATTAGGGTTGCCCATATTCTGTGAGGAAAGGATTAAAATGCTTTTCTTCCTTGTCAAAAAGTGTGTGCTATAAACAGTTTGGAGTGTTTACATCTTTGGCATCAAACCATTACACTAAATGTATACGTTTATCTTTCAATAACAGATTCCAAATCCATATTTAACAAGGTGGATTAACCTTTGCCAAACTGAGCTGACAATTGGAATGAAATAAGGTTCTATTCTTTCAACTTTAGCCATCAGGACAATGAAGATCTTACATGTGAACAGTAAATTCTCTGCTTTGGAAATTTTAGAGAGGTCCAAGTACAGTGAGCTTTACAAAACCAGAGCGGAAAGGCTTGGAGGGAGTACAGTTAAAATGTTACGTTCCAGAATACCTTGGACACAAATAATGTGTCATGTTGATTATTTCTGAATACAAGACTCCTTAAAAGGTGGATTAATAGTTGTTAGTTCATGGTGAAATGAAATGTGGGCTGTACTTACACAACTTCTACATAGAGCTAAGGACCTTCATGCTTCCTGCCAACACCCACGGTACACCCAGCTTAGGTAGATCGTCCTGCTATGTGCAGTCACATTTCAAATAAGGTGTTAGTCGGCCCGGTGATTTGTGGAGTATTGTCTTTGATGTAGACTTTTGCAAGGAAAGGAAGACAGCAGATTTCGGGACAGGGAGCATCAGGTCTACGCTGACAAAGCTGTGCTAAGTCACCTCTTGAACCAGTCTGAGGACTGAAAAGCACTTTGAAAAAGGACTTTGGGTCTAAGTAAAGACAGTTTGTTGACTTGGTATTTTTTTTTACATTCCCTCATGTGTATTCATAATAAGCAGTTACCAAACATCTTAATAAATTTGCAATTAAAAATCAGTTGCCAAAATCGCACAAATTCTGCTAGCAAATACTAGCTGTGTCCCCTGAGCTCTAAGTAACAGGGACACATAAGGACATTTTGTAGTTGTGATGCTTTATTTAGCTTTCTTTAAAGACTCGTTGAAAGGAAGAGCAGAAAATGGTATTTTAACAGAAATGAAGAGAAGTAGATAGTATAAAAGTA